GGGCTCGCGCAAAAAAGGCAACGATTGATAGACACGCTTACGGATGTGTCTGCAGGTGCATATAAAAGCACGTGCGTGCACGGAAACACACACGCAGTACTGTACACATGCCCGCCCGCGCGTGAGGGATCCTATGGTATGGAGAGTATGGGGAGTTTGCGGGCGAGCGCCGAAGAGTGTGAAGGAGAGGGAAGAGATTGTAGGAGCGCCGCGGAGTGCGATGGAGTACGGGAGGGTCAAGAGGAGTGACGAGGGTTGCCGAGGAGTGCGATGGAGAGGGGAGTAGTCAGGAGGAGAGCTGAACAGCGCGGTGGAGGGGGGAGGAGTGGCGTGGAACGCCGTGGAGTACGATGGAGTGGGCTGAGGTCTGGAGGAGCAGGGGCGGCGCCGAGGAGTGCGAGGGAGTGGGGAGGAGCTGGGAGGAGTGCCGACGTGTGATATGGAACGAGGAGTCCGGAGTGGGGAGAACAGCCGAGGAGTGCAGTCGGAAGGAGTCCACAAGAGTGCCGAGGTCTGCAATGGATAGGGGAGAAAAAGGGGAAGTGGGATGGAGTGCCAAGGATTGCGAAGGAGTGGGGAATAATCCTGAGGAGTGGGAAGAAGCACCGAGGCGTGCGATGGAGTTGGGAGGAATTCCGAGTGCGATTGAGTAGGGAGGTCGGGAATAGTCGAGACGAGTCCCGAGGAGTGCCATGGAGTGTGGGAGAATTGGGAGGAGCGCTGAGGAGTGCGATTTGGGCGGGGAGGAGTCTGGAGGAGTGCCGAAGAGCGCCGTTGATTGCGATGGAGTGGGGAGGAGTCGGGAGGAGTCGGGAAAAGCGCCGACGAGTGAGATGGAACGAGGAGTCCAGAGTAGGGAGGAATGCAGAGGAGCGGAGTGGAGAGGAGTCCACAGAATTGCCGACGAGGGCCCAAGGTTGCAATGGAGAGGGGAGACGTCAGGGGGGAAGCGGGGTAGAGCACCTAGGAGCGCGATCGAGTTGGAAATAACCATACGTGTATCCATATATATATATACACATACACGCACGCACGCCTATGCATACACAAGGACGCCAAACACACACGCGCGAACCAATGGCTCCCCAATGTGGGTGGATCGCGGGGAAATCGACACGCGTCCAAAAACGTACACACGACAGGATAGACACGGATAGTTCCAACATATGAAATTACAACCAACAGAAGAACCCCAATCAGTGGAGGGTTTAAAAATCAGTTGTCTGGATATTGAGATTGTGCGATCGGTAGTGGGATCGATATGGGGATCGATAGTGAGGACGATAGTAAGGTCGATAGTGAGACCGATAGTGAAGTCGAATCAGTGGGATGGATGGTGACATTGATTGTGAGATCGCTCGTGAGATCTATAATGAGATCGATTGTGAGATCGGAGTGAGACCGATTGTGAGATCGATAGTGGGATGGATAAAGAGGTGGGGAATGAGATTGATGGTGAGATCGATCGATAAGGAGATCGACAAAGAACCTGCGAACCCAGAAACCTAGGAACCCCGCCCCCCACCGAAATCGGCTCAGAACCAGCAAACGGGAACCCGGGAACCCGGAACCGGGAACCTGGGAACACAGCCAGCTACCGAAATTGGCCTGGGACTTTCGCCAAATCTTTCAATATCCGCTAGGATCCCTGCAATACAAGCACTGATTGGGAAAGTATACACGAATAGTCACTAACATATAGACATGTTTCGCGAAACCAGACACGCTTCATGTTCGACACGGACAGAGAGATAATAGATATGGACATGTGGGGATGTCTCAAGCCGTTGGTGCAGCTTCTATGAAAATAGACAAAGACACCTTCCAGTTTCCATTCTAACTGATACTCGAAAAACTGCTTGGGGCATCGTGACATCTCCGAATCGAATTCCTGTCTTGTGAAATTGGGCGTCTTGTAGGCTAGGGGTGCGTCCCAGTGCGTCCTCCGTGCGTCCCGATGCAACCTGGTTCGTCCTGGTGCGTTCCAGTGCGTCCTGCGGTGCGTCCCATGCAGTACGTCCCGGCTCGTCCCAATGCATCCCAGTGCGTCCCGGTGCGTCACAGTGCGTCCCGGTGCGGCCTGGTGCGTCCAGGTGCATCCTGGTGCGTCCCGGAGCGTCCCGGTGCGTCCCGTCCTGTGCCAGTGCGTCCTGGTGCGTCCTGCATGGTGCGTCCGGTGCGTCCCGGTTCACTTCCTCCGCATTCTCCTTTCCTTTGGAAGCTTTCGGGGGCCCTTGCGAGAGTGCAGCCAGGGCTGCCAGGCTGCGGCATAAGCAAAACAATGAAGAGGGGAACGAGGAGGAGAAGGAAAAGGAGAAGGAAGAGGAGAAGGAAGAGAAGAAATGGGAAGTAGCAGAAAGGGAAGTCGGAGAGAAGGAGTGGGGAGGTGTTAGAAGACGGAGGATGAGAAGAAGGGGGAGGAAAGACGAGAGAGTGGGGCGGAGGGATGGATATTAAAAATGATGATGAACAGGATGAGCAGGATAAGGAGGAAGAGGGTGAGGTGGAAGGAGGAGAAGCTGGGGAGGAGAGGTTAGAGGGATGAGGAGGAGGAGGAGGAGGAGGAGGAGGAGGAGGAGGAGGAGGAGGAGGAGGAGGAGGGAGGAGAGGGAGGAGGAGGAGAAGGAGGAGTAGGAGGAGCAGGAGTGAGATCACGAGTAGGAGTAGCAGTGGAAAAAGGAGGAGCAGGGCAACGACGTCGACGACTTCGACGGCATGCCCGCATTCAAAGTGTCGAACGGACAAGGGTGACGAGGAGGAGCTGAAGGGATGAAAGAGGGAGAGGTAGAGGAAGTAGAGGAGGAGGAAGAGGGTGAGGTGCGCAGCCAGCTGTGGAGGAACATGTGGAGGGGGACGATGAGCCTGAACGGCATGAAGAAATAGGAAGAGTGGAAGGGAGGCGGAGAGATAGTAAGAGGAAGAGGCAGGGAAAGGGTGCGGAAGGAGATGGGGCAGGGGAGGGGAACGAGGAGGGAGGAGGGAGGCGGGACGGAGCACGGAGGGGAGACGTGGGAGGAGGGAGGATGAGGATTGCAGGGAAGCTGCGGGTGGAGGGCGAGGGGGACGCGGAGGACTGGAGCATGGAGCCGATCTGCGCGGCAGGGTTGACCGGCCGGCGCTGCGGCCTAGCTGCGACTGCGCGTCCCTGGGGTGGGGGGTCGAGCACACAGCTCTTGCCGCAGGGTAAGCCTCTGGGTCGAGGAGGGGCGGATGTGCACAGGCACCACGACGGCATGGGCTCCACTTGCCGCCATCGTGCGAGCATCACAAGGAAGGGGCCCTGGAACACACAAAAAAAGACGCAGATAGCAGGATACCCCATAGTTTCCCATATGTTCTGGGTTTTCGTCTTCCCCCCCACTTCCCATATTGTCCAATATTTTCTTGGAAATCGACTATCAAGTGTGATTGTGTCTGTGTGTGTTTTTCCCCTCCCTTCTGTGAAAAGAAACGGGTCTTACACGAGATGGCATAGCGACCTCACGCGGCGGCTCACGCGGGCCGCCAGCGCGGCACGACGCATTGGAAGTGAAACCGCTCACGCGCGACCTTCCACGGGCAGCTTGCGCGCGAATGTGGGCACGGGCCAACCCGCTTCCCTGCGTCGCTCACTTGCCGCCACCGCGCGAGCCACTCCACTGAAGGGGCCCAGGGACACACCAATGAATAGACACAGTCCCCAGATTCCCCGTATGTTCCGTATTTTCTGGATAGTCGTCTTCCCCTCGCCTGCCAATGCTTTCCATATTGTCCAGGACTTCGGCAATTATATAGTTGTGTCTGTGACTTTCCCTTCCTGAAGATGTTGGCGGCGAGCCCAGGGAGGCAACTCAGAGGGGGAAGGCCTTCTCAGAAGGTTCGGTAGGCCGCCGGCCTTGTGAGAAGTTTCCCAAGCCTTCCCCGAAGACTCAGGAAACCTTTCAGAAGGCGCGAGGGCTTCCGAGAAGCCCTGCCGCCTTCTGAGAAGACCTGCCCGCTCTCACTTCCCCCCCTGGGCGCGCCGCCGAAAATAATGAGTTGCAGCAGCGTTTTTTGTTCTTTGCGCATGCCTTGCCGAGCGGCGCCTGTTTGCACTAATTTCTGCATGCTGGAACTCAACGAGCTCGCCTCGAAGTGCGCACTTGCACACGACGCCCAAGTCTGCGTGGGATTGCAAGCGCAGACAGGAGCAAGGAACACGAGGATAGTGGGGGAAAGGTAGCCGGTCTGCCTCCCATTGAAGGATCACACTCGGCTCGTGAGCGAGGTTGATACAATAAGACCATTTATTGAGCATTACGCTCAGGAGTCTGTTCGACTTCTGCGCTCGCGGGCGGCTGCGCCGGTACCTTGCCGGCGACGTGGCCCGAGGCAAATAGCAACGTGCATAAATCCGAGTGGCTGAGACAGCAGCCAGGGAAGTGACCGAGAGGTACGGCGGGGCCACGTCGCGATGACATCGGCGTTGGCTTCCAAAACCGCGTGGATCCGACCAGCCATAACTGGGGGAGCTGTGGTCCTTACCCCCCTGGAGGAACCCATCGCACCGACGATCACTCGAGAGGGGTGTCGAAATCGATGGGTCCCCCATGGAAGCACTACAGCTCCCCCAGTTGTGGCTGGCCTGTGGATCGTTCGACCTCGAGCGATCGCTGCACTCCGACAGCGCAGGCCGCTCGGCATCGGTCGATTCCGGGCCGCGGGTGTCGGTCAGCCTCGGACGCCCGCGCCGGGGTCGCCGTCGCGTCAGCGCGGCGCGAGCCTGCCGCAGACACTGGGCTGGAGGAACCTGCCGCCTGGCCCTGCGGCGGCCGCCGCTCGCTCGTCCGGGGGGGGGCCGCTCGTCGCTGACCGAAGCTTGGCAGCCAGCGCGGCGGCCTTCCCTGCACGAGCGCGGGAACTGACGGCGCCGAAGGCACACCATCACCATGCCTGGCCAGGGCCATCCTTGGCCTTGGGATGGTCTGCAGGGCCCTTTGGCCACCCCTTCACGCCCCGAGGTTCGAGCCTGCACTGCAGCTTCAGCACGAGAAGGTGCGATTCCAGGGCAGGTCCGTTGAGGAGCTGCCCAAGCTGACCGTGATGTTCTCGCCCTTGGACACCGCAGAGACCCACGCCTGAGCGTCCACATCGAAGTAGCTCCAGTCTTCAGGCCCGAGGAAGAACGCCACATTCACCTCGCTGTCCTTCTCCACGTCTACCTTCTGGAAGCCTCGCAGCTGCCGCACGACGGGACTCAGGCTGGGAAAGCTCACGTAGAGCTGGGGGACTGCCGCGCCCTTGCGCCAACCGATGTTCTTCACGGTCATGGTGACGACGGCCCTCTCCTTGCTGCAGATTACGTCCTGGTTCGTGAACTCGAACTCCGTGTACGTGAGGCCGTACCCGAAGGGGAACACCGACGGCACGCCCATGGCGTCATTCCACCGGTAACCGATGAGCACCCCCTCGGAGAAGTTGGCCGTCATCTCCTTGCACCACGTGTTCGGAGGCGGGCACGTCCCCGGGTACTGGTCCTTCGTGTAGCGCTTCTCGTCGTCCGCCGGGAGGGACACGGGCAGGCGGCCTCACAAGGATCGACCCAAACGGAGAATTTCGCTTTCGCGTTGTTTTCGTGCTCCCTCGTTTTGTCTTCGCCTCGCCGCTGCTACGAAACGAAATCGGGACGAAAACCGAAGCCGAAATCGCAAAAGCACCGTTTCGGTTGAGACCTGCGGCCTCCAGGACTGGCCTCTCCATTCAGCAGCTGCGCCGCGGCAATCCCGACCTGCTCGCCTGGCATGAAGAGCATGAGGGCGGCGTCCGCGTCCCACACCCACCCAGTGGTGACCACCCCGGGCGAGATGGCCAGCACCACGATGGTCATGGAAGGGTCCTTCTCGCGGAGCCCGTGCACGAGGGCATACGCGTCGGGGATGTCGAGGCCCGTGCGGTCCCAGCCCTCCTCGGCGTGCGCCGAGACGCACACGATGGCCACGTCGGCACTGTCGACGTCGTCGGCCGTCTGGGCCAGGGTGACGGAGGCGGCGTCTGGGAACTTCTGCCGGATGCCGTTGTAGGGGGTCACCAGGGTGGAGCTCTCCACGTAGCCGCTGCCTCCTCCCGAGTAGACGCTGCCCTGCAAGAAGTCGCTGTCCGTGCCCTGGTTGCAGTACCTGCCGACCAGCACGATTTTCTTCCCGGCCCCCTGGAGTGGCAGGACGCCGTCCTTGTTCTTGAGCAGCACAGCGCTGTCGATGATCGTTTCCCGCGCCACGTTGAGGTGGGCGTCGGTCCTAGCGTCCGAGGCTGGGCTTCCCGGATACACCCCCTCGTCCGCGCCGAAGAGCCCATCGGCCTGGCCCGACGCGAACCACGAAGAGAGCACGTGTCCCGCCATCCGGTCGATCCTGTCACCATGCTCGTCGGGGCTGAGACCATTGAACGCGTCCCCTTCTGGCATCTCCACGTCCAGACCCGCAAACGCGGACTTCACGCCGTCGTGGGTGGCGCCCCAGTCGCTTACGACGAAGCCCCGGAAGCCAAGGTCCTCGCGCAGAAGGTCGTGGAGCAGCTTTTTGTTCTCGCAAGCGTGCTCGCCGTACACCCGATTGTACGCGCACATGACGGAGCCTGCTCCGGCCTCGAACGCAGCCTTGAAGACGGGCATGTAGATCTCGTGCTGCTCTCGGTCACCCACCTCAACGTTCATTGATTGGCGGTAGATCTCCTCGTTGTTGTTCAACCAATGCTTCACCGTTGCAATGATCCCCTTAGCCTGCACAGCCCTGACGAAGGGCCTCACGAGCTCACTTCCCAAGTATGGGTCCTCCCCCGTGAGGGTCTCGAAGCTACGTCCACTGAGCGGGGAACGGATGATCTCTACATCTGGACCGAGAAGCACGTTCGATCCCTTGACGGTGAACTCCTCTGCTACCGCCTGCGCGTACCTCCGCGAGATCTCAGGGTTGAAGCTGGCGGCGATGGAGAGAAGCGCCGGGAACTGAGTGCTCTTGCTCGCCTTGTCGGTCGTGTAGGCGTTGTAGCCTTGAGGCCCATCGTTCATCGTCAGCCGGACATCACCGTTTTGAATGAAGCCTGCGTAGCCGCTGCCCGTCTTAGGAATCCCCTTCAGCAGGGCAGCTTTCCCCCACGGGGCCATCGACTCCAGGGCTTCGCGCGCTCTCTTCTCGGCGTCGTCCCACTTGCTGGCCACCTCGGCCAGCCTGTCCTGCTTCAGCTTGCTCATTTTCTTCCAGCCCTCCAGCGCCTCGTTCTGCATGGTGGCGATGTCGAGAACTCTCGCGTGTTCAGGCTTCAATTTGGACATCTCGTCGCTTGTGCCACACAGCATGGACTCGTGGTAGTCATCCGAATCATCGCTATCAATACCGGGCACGCCTACTTCCAGTGTTCGCCCCCCGGACATGTAGCACCCGTCGGCCGCTCTCGCGTAGACTGCCTGCGCACAGTTTGCGCGCTTGATGCATTCTTCCTGGCACTTCGCTGCCGACGGCATCTTCTTTTTTCCCTCAACCGAACCAATAAAGCCTGCCCCATCTGCGAGAACGATACCTGGAAAAGTGAGGCAAGAACGTTCACGATGCGTTGCATCTGAGTCAGTGCCCTTCGCCTTGGCAGGGGACGGCCCGATCACCAGAGCATGCCTCGGTTTGCTCTCGGCCTGCTCCAGGATGGGAAACGCGGGAGACAGCAGAGGCTGTCGAGTGAGGGCTGAGCCATGCTGAAGCCTGTAGCTGATCCCAGCGGCACACGCCAGCGTGGCGAGGAGCGCAGCGGCGAGGGGGAGGCGCCTCACGCGTTGCGGCTCGAGATGCTCGGAATGCTCGCCGTGCTCTGAGCTCGCCTGCGGCACCAGAGCGCTGTCCTCCGTGGGGGCCGCGCCCGCGGAAGCCGTGGGATCCATCGCTGCCGAGCTTCGCGACAAAGCCCTCCGATGGGGCCCGAAATCGCCTCGTCAACAAGGCCCTTGTGTCAAACGACTGCGGGGAGGTGAATCGAAACGCCTTGTCGATGACCTGAGCGGCCATTACGTGTGCTCCGTGGGTAAGTACACCACACATTGTGCTTCGCAGAGTAGCAAGACAACCGTCACTGTCCGGCGACCAGGGCACTGACAGTGCCGTCAGAGGGGAGAACAGTGCTGGCGTCAAGTGAAACCATATTGCCGGTGTTGCTGCAGCTCTTCATCACTTGAGGTGACCAGGACGAGGCAAAGTGTTCCTCAGAATCGCCTCAGATCCTGAAGGCCACCGCTTGGTGGCAAATGAGGGGGGCTGCAGGTTTCCTGTCCGCTTGCCCGACCTGTTGCACCATGTCTGCCGGGCATGGCACACACCACACATGTCCAACGACTTCGCCCAAGGCCAGAGCTCGAAGCAGTGGCAGCGGCTAAGAGCTCCCTGCCGCACGCAGAGGAACGGACTGGATGAACAATAACGCAAAGCTGACGTCATTGACAGAGAGTTTCCCTCCCCTGACCTTTTGCCGCGAACCACCTGGGCGGGAGATACTGTGCGCATGCGGAGCAGACAGGCTGCACTTCCTGCGATGGGAACATCGAAGCAAGGCACACGCACGATACCGCGATCGTGCGAGTAGGGAACGGAGGGCCGTTTCTGGCCACGGCGAGCCTCAGCCACGATCAGGTTCCCCGACCCACTTCAACCTGAGGAACGACCGAACACCAGAGCCCCCACTGAGCCCCAAGTGGTCCTCATCTCAACGTCTTCACTGAAAATGCCGATACACACGGCATGGCACAGCGAGCGCGCCAGCTGGAATGGTGAGTGCCCCGTGGCGGCCTGCCGCAGGCTCAAGACTTTGGGAGAGCAGGAGTGGTGAGAGACCCAGGGCCCTGCCGCAGGTTTGGAAGCAGAGGGATGATGGGGAATCCAAACTTTTGTGAATATAAACACCTTTGGCGGCCCAAGATCGCTGAAGCACGCGTCTCCGCATCGCGCGAAACTAAGCTCAAAGGAAACGCTGCAGCCGCCGCAGCCGCCGGAGGGGAATCTTTCGCCGCCGGGAGCGCTGTCCCCCTCTTAGATCGAACGGGAGGGGCCCTCTCCTTCCGGGGCTAACATAAACGTTAGGGGGGGACAGGTACGAGGTTCGAGGTCCAAGGTTTTTGGGCGTTCTAGTTTGTTTTCGGCGGGTCTCCAACCTCGGGATGCCTTCCAACGGCGGTGCCTCGCCGAAAGCGTTCGGGGGGGTCCCGGATCATCCAGAACGTCCGCCGGAGACTCGAGTCATGACCCGAACACCACCAGGGGAACGGCTGAGAGGGGGGGGGAACATCGACTCGGAATCGGCGATGCGTCCCCGATGGGATCGGCGCTAGGCCCCCTCCGTGGCACAAGCGCACGCTCCTGGGCGGGGTGGGGTATCGGGCCCCTGTCGTGGATGAGTGAGCGATTGGTACGCCACGAAAATGTAGACACAGACGCCCTCCGACAAACTTGGCATGTACCTTCAGGGAGGGGACGGTGTATGAAATCGCTGGCTCGCAATAGCGATTTATACCCCGCCACCCGTCCTGGGGCCCAGGAGCGATCCAGTGGAGGGTGTCTGTATTTTTTGCTGGCGGAGATTCATGGCCGCTGCTTCCCCTCACGCTGCCTTGGAAGGAGGGCCGGGGCGGCGAGAGCCGCACCGCCGTCCAGCAGGACGAGGCACTGCCACGGCTGGGGCGGCGAGAAGCCGCGCGCTGCACCGTGCGCAGCAGCAGCGGCAGCAGCAGCAGCACGGCAGCAGGACATGCCAACGGCATTGCGTTTGATGGGGAAGCTTGGCATGAAGAAGCGGGCTCCCGCGGGAAACGTGCCATGGACCCCAGGGCTTTCCCCCAATAAAATTACCTCGCGGTCGGAATCGATTTCAGGCCATCCTGGGGCTCGTGGAAGGCCCAGGGAGGACATCGGACATAGGACATGCAACTGTCGCCGGCGGGAGCGTCGCAAGTTGGCGCTATGGCACCAGGCAGCTGTGAGACAAAGACTCCAGCAACACATGCACGTACGTCTACAGCACGATCGAACGAACCCAAGGGGAGGGCAAACAACGGCGAAGCAGGTCAGGACCCGTTTTCCTCATGGCCCCCTTTCTGCGTGGCGAGCTCGCAGAGGAGCCGCCCTCCAGAGGTGGGGCTGTGGAGTACCGGTTGCGAAGCAGGCGCTCGGGCCCCAGGCGGGGCCACGGCTTGTGCAGGACACCCAGAGCGCCCCGCAGGCCGCACACACCAGGTGCACATCAGCAAGATGCTCGAGTCCTGGCCGCCCAGGGGAGTTATCCGGGCGGGAAGCCCAACCCTTTCTCAACACGAGGCGGCTACAAACAGGACCGCCCCACACACGAACACAATGCACAATGCAGTGAGGGGTGTGCTGGGTGGGCGCGGCGGCGCCATGCGGACGCATCTTCATTCGTGCGGCGCCATCGTGAATTGTGTGTGTGTGTGGCTGTGTGTGTGTGTGTGTGTCTGTGTGTGTCTATGTGTGTGGTTGTGTGTCTGTGTGTCTGTGTGTCTGTGTGTCTGTGTGTCTGTGTGCCTGTGTGTCTATGTGTCTGTGTGTCTGTGTGTCTGTGCGTGCGTGTGTGAGTGCGTGGGTTTGTTCGTGTGTCTGTGTGTCTGCCTCACTCTATCGAGGGCGAACGTCCAGCCACAGCCCGGGCAACTGATCGAGGCACGCATATCTCAGAAAAACTCGATGAAGGGCCCACCGAAGACGACCACGACCACCGCGAGCAGCAGCCGCCTCCGGGCCGCCAGCGGTGTCAGCCGCCAATGGCGCTCCCCTCAAGCAGCTCTCGCCGAAGCAGCCTGCTCCCCTAGGAGCCCTCGCCCCACGCCGACTCGGCCCACAAGGGCCTAGCGCCGACTCGGTGGACCGCTAGCGCCGTCCAGCAACACCAGGGAGGAGACCTGCATGAGCTCGGATTCGTCCGCGTCTTCCCAAAACACCATGGCGAGGGCGGCGTCCCAGGGGTGGACGCAGATCACTTCCACCTCGTCTCCCGCCTGGGGCAGACGCCACATCGCGCTCGCTGGCCAGCGACCACGGCGGCACGGGCAGTGGCCGGCTCTGCTGGCGCTGGGGGTGGCCTCGCGCGCTCGATGCTGCGCGCGCTCACCTCGCTGTCGCTCTCGCAGCGCGAGCACGAGCACGAGGCCCGCGCGCGCGTCACCCGCTGCTCCGCCACAGGTGTCTGATACCGCCTTCGCACTGGAGGCGCCGGCGGGAGCACCAGGCCCCACGGCAGCACCGGCAGCGGGGCCACCCACGATCGCCTCGGCCGCCGCTTCAGCGCCGTCCCCGCCGTCCCCTCCTCGTCCCTCCTCCGCCCCAGCCTCCTGCCGAGGCTGCGCACGGCGCCGCCACCGCCGAGCCCTGAGGGCGGGCCCAGGCGGCGCGGTTTCCGCGGGCGGACATCCATCCCGATGTCCGCCTCGGCTGCCCTGCCCGTCGACCGTCGCGCCCGCGCCGCCGCCACCCCTGAGGGGGCCCGCAGCTGGGCGGCAGCGCAGCGCTGCCACCGCTGCGCGCAGCAGGCCCTTGGCCGTCCGCAGCAAGCGCACTCCCGCGAAGGAGCGGCATGCGGCGAAACCCGAGGCGGCGTGAGCGGCGAGGGGGGCGCCATGCGCCACCTCCTCCGCGCACCGCCCCTCCGCTGGCTGCGTGAACGTATAGGCATCGCCGGGTGTGAGCGCGACCTGAGGCTAGCACAGTGAGACAAGTTGAGCCCGATAGTTTCCCTGCGTGTGCGCGTGTGTGGACAACACTTACGGACGGCAGAATGTCGATCCACACGACCGGCCGAACCAGCAGAGGCCATACCAGCCTCGTCCGAAAGCAACAGACTCCCACGGCCCGCCCGCCGAAGACGACGACGGCCACCTGGGCTCCAGCCGTCTCCCGCCGCAGCCACCACTAGCAGCCGCCTGCAGCCGCCCCCAGCAGCCGCCTGCCGTTTCAGCGGCCTGCTCCCCTAGGAGCTCTCGCCCCACGCCGACTCGGCCGCCCTCGGGCCTGATGCCGACTTGGCACTCCACCAGCGCCGCCCAGCAGCTCCTGAGAGGAAGTCTCCAACTTGCATGCCACGACCGCGCGCTCCAAGACAACCAGAGCGAAGGGATCTTGACTGAGGACGTCGTAGATCTTCGCCGCTGCTCCCTGGCCAGGCCCGCGCGGGCCCGAACCCGCATGCCCGCGGCCAGGAAGGCACGGGGAGCTGTCGGCGCCGGTCCAGGAGGCGGCCTGGCCTGAGCCACGTCCCCCACGCTCACGCTGCTGAGCTCGTTGTCGTCCTCGGCGGGCGCAGCAGCAGCAGCAGCAGCAGCAGCAGCAGCAGCAGCAGCAGCAGCAGCAGCAGCAGGCAGCTGCGCGAACTCCAGGCCCGCGCGCACGCCTCCAGGGCCCGTTCCGCCACCGCTCGGGGCCGCCTCCGTTGTCCGCACGGCCGATGGCAGGGCCATTGGGACCTCTCCTCCACCCGCAGCCGCCTAGCCCGCCGCGGCAGCGCCACCGCCCTCGGTCGCGCGCACCACAGGCAGCTCGTCTGCGAAGGCATCGTCGAGTTCCTCGTCTGTTGTAGCTCGGCCTCCATCCACCTCCACGCGCGCCGCTGCAGCCGCGGCACCACGTCGACGTCGTCCACGGCGACGCTTCTGCCTAGGCGCGGGGGCGCCTGGCGGAGCCGAGCCAGCCTCGGGATCATCGGTGTCACCGAAACGCGCGGCAGCAGGATGATGGACGTTCTCAGCCTGCGTCGAACGACAGGGCTTGCTAGCGAGCTTTTGCCGCTCGCAGCATGCCCTGCGCCGCTCGCAAGAGGCGCGTCCCTCCACGGGGCACCTGCACCGCAAGACCACTGGTGGGGTGGGCCGCCAGAAGGGCGCCGCGGGCA